AACCGCCAGTATCTTTGAGCTGCGCCTGCTGGACCTACCTGCAGCCAGTGCCTCGATGCCGTAGGAGGATGAGCCGTGGAAATAGAGCTGCAGCCTGCCGGTGCATTTATGAAAAAAGGAGGAAGAAAAAAGAACAAGATGAGGGGGTGGGGGGGTTGGGTGTGCAGCTGGCAGCAGCCGTTACTTCCGTGGAAACTTGCTCCAGATTTTCCGGATTTCTCAGTGCAGTGTGATTGAAGGAAGAATGCCACTGACAATGGGAAGCAATGCCAGCCGCACTTGTTTTTTTTTCTGCAATACGCCCCTCCCTCAACTGTGCAATAGGAATCACGCATCTAGACGTGGTAGTGTCCTGATACATTCAAATTGCTGGAACAGTCTATGTGTGTATAGTTCACAAAAGCAGCTCAGATACGTGCAGAACGTTGCGTAGTGGAAAGAGCCTGTGTTTTCCTCTGCCCGCTTGCTCGGGAGAAATGTCCGCCACAGCGGGTGCCAAGAAACAGCGTGATCGGAGGAAAGGATGTCAGTTACATGGGGACGCAATATCAATGTCGGCCGTGATTGTGTTTTCCTACAATACACCACTCCTTTTACTGCAAAACAGGAAACGTATCTGGATCTGTTCCTGTACTGGTACGTTTCAAATGATGGTACCCTTTGATGAAGCTGTGCCGACCCTGTGGAGGGACCTCTGGGTGTGGTGCCGAAGGTCCAAAAAAATAGCTGCGCAAGGTACTGGTGGTTTAAGTGTAGTGATTATCAGTGTGGTTTAGCTGTGAATTGGTGCCATTGGAGGAGTTTGACATTGACATTGACAGAGCTCTTGTATGTCTATAGGCTGACAAGAGCACCAGAAAATGTCAATGATCTCTAGCTGCAGGTGGGACGCAGGAGTCGTATACCTGAACACACTGTAAAGACAGTCCATGTGTGTGCGTGTGTGTGTAGAGATGTGTGTCTGCGTGTGTGTTGCCTGTGCGTGTTTGTCTGCATGCCTGTGTGTGTAGGTTGTCAAATTATCACCAAACCCATAAGAGTGCAAGGCCCTGCACGTCTCTGTGGGGTTGAGCGTGCGAAGTGCCCACACATTTGTCCGCTTGTGTGTGTGTGTCCGCGTCGGTGCTCGGTGTTGTAACATCCTGCAATTTTTTCCACTGATCTCTTCTTCAAGGGGGAGGATCCTACTTCAGCTCAGACTCAGCAGTTGTGAGAGAATGTGAAGTCCGCACAAGCAGCATGGCGATAATGCGCTGCTGCTCCTGTACATAGATGACAGTTAATGATGCCGGGCATTGAGGAGCTGCTTTTCAAAGCATTTCTCCAAGTGCATGATCAACAGCAATTCCGTTGTGGTGGCATGTCGTCTGTGCCATTCCAGATCACCTGCCACAGTTGAGTGGCCGGCAGCAGCGGCGGTTAGCCGATGAACAAGGTGTCGCTTTTCGCCAAAAGGCAGCCTGCATGGATCGGAGATTGTCACGCACTGTGTTGTCCTTGTGATCTCAATGGTTGGGTGGGTAGATTGGTGGCATCGGCGCACAAGAGTCAATCAACCTTGCTAGAATGCACCCGCCCATCTTTCAAAATGGATTTTTTTCACACTTTTTGCTTCTGAAAAAAGGCACTCTACAGGGCTTTTCAGCTTCGTCGTGGACGGTTGTTGCGTTTCATCCAGGGAGGCTATAAGAATTTACGCATCTGTCGGAAGGGCTAAACAGTGTTTCTAGTACAAAGAGGCAAAGCAGCACAGCCTTTGGGTGAGTTAGCGGTGGGCTGTGAGCTACAAGAGCGATTGCTGACTGCCCACAGCCTGCGGTGGTAAGTCCAGACCTGATGTCAGTTGGACCGATCTGCAGCTTGTCATGAGGGCCCTGAGTTACAAAGAGGCAAGCAGCACAGCATTTGGGTGAGTTAGCGGTGGGCTACGAGCTACAAACTACAAGAGCGATTGCTGACTGCCCACGGCCTGTGGTTGCAAGTCCGGACCTGACGTCAGTTGGACCGATCTGCAGCTTGTCATGAGGGCCCTGAGTTGATAGGGTGGTCAAGGCCTTCTGTGGCTACTTTCCAAGGGAGGAGGAACGCACACCCTTGGGGAGGGCTGGGGAGGGTGGTGAGGAGGAGGAATGATCCCCACTGGGTGGACGACAAAGCCCCCAAACAGCTTCCTTTTGGACAGGTGCCATCCCACTGGGGTGGCCTACAGAGGCCCCAATGAGCTGCCTTTTCTGTACACGTGCTTATTGTGACGTATGGCTGATTGTCATGGTCCAACTTCTCATCATGCTCAGTCCGGAGGGGTAGAATTGTTGCTTGGGAATAGAAGTCAAGAAACTTCTGGATTTTGCTTTGTTGGAATACGAACAACACTTGGACACAACAGAAAAAACTACCGAGTGGTGGCTTTCACTTGTTATTTTTGTCTTCTGGCAACAAAATAGTGTGTGCATGTGGGGTGGGGGGGTTGGGAGGGGGGGCGCAAAAGGGGGAGGGGAAGGGGGAGGTAGGGGGGGGGAGGGGTGAGTGGGGAGGGGGGCATGCTCTGTGTTCCACATGCTAAGCTGACATAGCCTGTTAGTTTAGAGTTGTTAAAAAAGAGCCCTTCATGAACGATGGGATCATGTTTGCCCTTCTTCACCTATTAATAGCGACAAATTGGAAGAGAGTTACCTTCGTCCCCCGAATATAACGTACGGTCATTATAGCTTTATCTAGGCTGAAAGATGCCTTAAATACAGCTATAATGACCATATACATTGTATTTGGGGGAAGGTCGTTACTGCAAGGGAAAAGAACGGAAAATGTCAAGGTTGCGGTTTGCCTTCAGTACTCTCCTTTATTTTTTGGACATTTTGAAAAACGAACTCCTCGTCTTTTTCCTACATTGAAAATATTCCCAGTGATCACCATCCACACACCTGTGCGTCTGGTGAGTGGTCATGCCCACAATCGCTCACACCTCGAATGCACAGCAGGCAGGCAAGATGGTAAAGCAGGGACAAACACATCAGGGGGGATGAGTTCAAGTGATGGATTGACTTCTTCAGTTAGAGTCTGTTAGACAGACTTGCAACACGCTTGGCCTTACTCCTGGGTAAACCGCTTTCACCTTATATCGTATTGAGAGCGGTTCCTTTGGACTGCAATGAACCCAACGACGGAAGCTCGCGATCGTATCTCACACAAACTCTTGAAGCTCGACGCCATGATAACAAGCAAAAATATGAGACAGGAATCGAGTAGTGGTCTGGCTATTATCCTATCGTGCCGTCCAGTCCACATACCATGAACTGCCCGATGTGGTGCCACAAAACCTACATGCTAGCCCCAGTAGCACACCCCAATCCACATAGTATGACCTGCCCTGCATGGTACTGCCTGACCTACGTTGTATCACTCATACCGCTAATATGACCTGACTCCACATGGTACGACCTTCCGGCTGTAGTCCTGCCTGACCCACATAGTGTCACCCGGGCACCACATGATACCGCCCAGCCCCCATACCGCCACCAGCTCCACACGGTATGACCCCGACATTGTGTCAGGCAGCCCCGTGATGACATCTTTCTGCTTGTTTTGGGGGGGAAGGGGGTGCATCAGCACCTTTCACAGGCTATGGCTACCACTCTCTATGTCACTTAAGCTATGGCAGCGCTCCAGGCTTCAAGAAGTGCGTGCTCGTACGTATAGAGGCCCCCTGGGCGGACCTCCGTACGTTCGGGACCTGAAGGAGTTCGGCCCCCGCCAAAAAATATTTCGGCGCCCAAAAATAACTATGTTTTTTTTAATTTGTTTTTGTGAGTTCTTTATGATGTGAGGTACATGCCAAATTTTGAAGTCAATTTGCTCAGCCAAAAAAAAGTTAACCCACTCAATACTTTTTATTTTCACTTTATTTCAAACTTTTTGTTTTAAACTGACTTTTTGTTTTTACTTTATTTCAGGGCCTAAACAATTTATTTCAGGGCCTAAATTGACTTTTTGTTTTCACTTTATTTTCAGGGCCTAAACAATTTATTTCAGGGCCTAAATTGACTTTTTGTTTTCACTTTATTTTAGGGCCTAAACAATTTTATTGTTCTTTGAAGGGCCTAAACAATTTTATTATTCTTTGAAACTTTTTTAACGAAAAAGTTAACCCACTCAATACTTTTTGTTTTCACTTTAACGAGTTTTGTATTATGTGAAGTATACGTTTCTAAATTTTCAGGGCATTTCACCAAAGATGGCGAAAACAGGCTTGCCCACTCTCTTATTTTATTTTTAATTCAAATTTTGTAAGGAATTTGGATGTAAAGCTCGGACAAATATTGTTTTTTTTATTTTTTTGCATAACATATGTTTTTTTCATATTTGTCCTCATTCGGACCAAACGGCTGAACGCATCCCCAAGGTGTCCCGTACGTGTGGGCGTTCGGGTTGGGGCGTTCAGCCCATCCCAAACACTGGCCACCTTGTATACTTAAATTCCAATAAAATAATATGTAAGGTGATCGTAACTAATAAAATAACTTGTAAGGTGATCGTAAATTTTTGAAAATCTCAATAAGAGAAATGTGCATTTTCCATGCAAGAATATGTAAAGAATTATTGGGAGTATGGACGACTAAAGATATCAAAAGAAACAATTTTTTTGTGCATCAAAATAAATAATTTTTTTTTTGCATCTTTATGAGCAAATTTCTCAAACACAACATGAATTACAAAACAATCGTACCATAGAAGTGATAAGACCTTGATAGCTAATCTACGAAGGTGTATTTTTTCATTTAAACTTGTTGAGGTTTCCTCATGGACCATGGGCCATAAAAAAATTGCCTCAATCGTCGGCATATAAGTCCCTATTGTGTATGATATATGCAAGATCAATTTTTAAAATTTTGGTTAAGATTACAATGAATATAGCTGACCTAAAAGAAAGGAGATAGGAAATATCAGCTTATATTTCCCCATTGGATAAATCCATACCCAAAATCATAATATAAATTGGATTGCGCACTGGACAGGGATAACATCTGGAGTATCCTCCTTTAAATGAATGAGAAAAAAAAGTTTGGTCATTAACTCGTTCCCCAAATAATTATGAGAGAACTCCCGGGATCTGTTTAAGTAAAGATTTAATGGAATTCGTGAACGAAGTTTGAAACGAAGGCAACGAGGAGGAGCTACTATGCAGTGAATCTTCATAGGCGGTTTCATATTTTGTTCGACGTGATGAAAAAGAGGTAGAGATGAAGATGATGATGAAAATTATCGCTATCAAGCAGGAGGCGATAACAGATATGCACCACACTGTAGGCGAGGTACTCCAAGACTCACAATGCAGAATGAAGCAAATGACAAACAACAGTTGGGGTATACCTGCAATAGACTGACTGGCCTGGACCGGGCTGGTACTGACATTGGTACCAGCTGGAATAATGAATGATATATGAGATTGGGGTGACTACCTAGTCCCATAGGCCGAATAGTCAATAGGTAGGCAAGTAGAATCCCATTGCATACCGGGCCAAGGCATGCTAAACACCCATAAAGGAGATAACATGAATTTATCTAAGTATAAGCTTTATTATCATGTTGACTACGGTCTACAAAATGATCTCGGAGATCCTGGCTAATTAATGGAGTCCTTAGGACTAAAAGGCAAGACAAAGCGGATGGATTTTGGTCTTCATTGACTTTGAAAAGACTTACGATCGTGTGGATTGATATTCTCAAGAGAAAGGTAAACCAACCTTAGGAAACACAAAAAACTATATCCAGTATCTAGATTGCTTATATTCAAGACGAAGCCATCACGGATTTCTCCGCAGACTTCGAGGGTTAGAAGGTCGCGGATGGATGAGGTAACCGAAATATTGGGGTTGAAAATAACCCCATATGGGGAAAACCTTTGATATATGAGGGTTGAAAATAACCCCATATGGGGAAAACCTTTGATTATGAAATATTGGGCTTGAAAATAACCCCATATGGGGAAAACGTTTGATAATGACCCTCCACTCGGCGTTGGAGAACTTTGTGGCCAAGGACAACAAACACAAACCTTTGATAATGAAATATTGTGGTTGAAAATAACCCCATATGGGGAAAACCTTTGATAATGACCATTGGTGCCTCCACTTGACGTTGGAGAAATTTGTGGCCAGGGACAACAAACGCACCTTTATTTTCGGGACAGCAGTAGTAATTAATAACTCCTTACTTTGTGCCGTATGGTATGAACCCGTTTTGTGGGCCCATTCCAAATAGCGTATCCTCTCTCATCTTTGTTAAGAAATATTCCAAGTGAGTGCAAGGTCATTCGCCGAGTCGCATGAAACTCTATCATACAACCTAAATCAAGAGGAGTACTTGCCATACTATACCCATACATATAACTGAAAGCTCTTTCTCATAGATGGATGCTCAAGTTACTCTCTGGACCCTAGGCTATCTGAACCCCACTAGCTCTATAGCAAGTGCGAAGACTATCGTTAGCACTTGAGACCACTGTTGAGATTCACCCCCTGAGTTAGTTGGAGAACAGATATCGAACTACCCCTCGCAGGATACTCCTAAGAACAGAGGGGAAAGATCTACCAGTCCTGGACAAGCATAGGCACCTCTGCTATGCAAATGTCAGTTTATGGTATGCTCTTTCAGCCAATTGACTTTGGTTTCATAGATGGTAATATCAATTTTGAATCTTACCTCTCTGCCTCCTACGCTCACCTTCCCATGATCGATGTCTGAAGGTAGCATGCCTTAAAAACAACCAAGAAGAGAAGTTAAAAACAACTACTAAAGGTTGGATAATTAACTGATGCAACCATTTTAACCACCAGTACTTCCGAGGCCCTTTTCTCTGGGGCTGGAAATGCCCTGCGCACCTCCTTTTGGCTCGTTTTGCCAACCATTTTGCCGGAAACATACTGGGGGTTTAACAATAGCAGGGTGGAGCAGATGGTAATCCCTGAATACAAATTTAATTCCAAACTTGTGCTATAATGAATTTTAGATTAGATGCTAATCCCTGAATACAAAGTTTATTCCAAACTCGGAGTGTTGTGATATAACGAACAAATTTTACTGTCTACCTCCAAGAAGTAATATCCCTTCGTCAGAACAGCAACATTCAGAAGAGCACACATCCAAGCGAGGAAACCATCTGGAGGTAGAAGCTTCAAACAAGGTTCTGCAAGGACCCCTTCACAAGAACCCTCTTATGGGTCCATAACTACAAGGTGGAACATTGACAATGGCCGAGCACGCCTGCCCTTAGGCCAGCAGACCTGCCCTTACCAGCGCTGCCCTTACCGACGGAAACCATCTGGAGATAGAAGCTTCGAACAAGGTTGTGCAAGGAGGCCATCATAGGAACTCTCTATGGGTCCATAGCCACAAGGTGGATATGACCTACCATCAAAGAATGAACATGACACACTCCACAACTACTGCGGTGCTAT